CTAGAATGACTGACAGAACTCACGAAGATACTTCACTTATGTTTACCAGCTTCTCAGGGACAGGTGAATGGGAGAGATGCTCTGGGCAGTGAGCTGGTGGAAGGAGGGGTGTGGCCCAGAGCTCCCAGGCCCTGGCTGGGCACATCGTCTTCCCATCAATGTGTTCACCAACCCGGAAGCTCCCCACATTGCTGTTAAGGAGTTTCATAACCCAATCTCTAACCCCTCTCCCCTCCTCAAAGGTCAGGGGATGGGGCTGAAGGCCCCGCCCTTTAATTACATGTTTGATCTTTTCTGGTGACTAGTCCCGTCCTAAAGCCATCTCGGAGCTCCACCCTGAATCATCTCATTAGCATGAACTCCGGAATGGTTGGAAGGGGCTGTGTTGAGTAACAGAAGACACTCCTGCCATGCAGGAAATGCCGAGGGTTTTAGGAGCTCTGTGCCAGAAACTGAGGACAGAGACCTAATATAGTTTTTATTATACCACATGGCTCAACCCAATGGAACTCGAAGGCAAGTCAGCCAGGCTGATATAGTCCAAGGAATGGCCTCCAAAGCCCACGGCCGGGTGGGGAAGGGTGGAGAGGAGGCCTGGAGGGGAGTGGAGGACACCCCGCACACCCTGGCCACGTGCTTCTGCTGTCCAGGGGTTCCCAGCACCTCGTCTTCCCATAGGCCAAGGAGGGAGCAGGAAATTCACTGCAGCCCAGTCGGGCAAGAATTCAGAGGGCAGTGGTGCTCTGGCCCCACTCAGGCTCCACCAGGGACACAGCTAGCTGGGGGTAGACTCTTGCCCCCTGCTCCCCATCCCATTCTGGCTGAGGGATGGACGACGAGCCAGAGCTGTTTCCTTAGCCAAATGCCCATGGCCTCTTTCTGCACTGCTTCTCAGCGTCAGCCCTGCAGCCCTCGCCTCCGGTTTCTGCCTGGCCAACTGCCATGGCTTCCGAACTGGTCCTCCCGGGTCCAGCCTCTCTCCAGCCAGCAATGGCCCCACACAGCCCCCTAACAACACAGCTCCTAGCCTACCATCCAAGGCTTGTCACCCCATGTCACCTCATTTCTCAGTGTATTCATGTCCCTACGCTCCAGACAAACCAAACTCCTGCCAGTCACCAGGTGCATCCTCTGCTTCCTGACCTCCAAGGTCCTGTGGTCTGCTCTTCCTGTCTTATCCCATCTCTACCTGCCAGAGTCAAGCTTCTCCTCCTCTACCAAGCTCCTCCGGGACACCTTTCTACACTCTCAATCTCAGCTCTTCAAATGCTCCCAACTTTCCATCTGTGTAATTCTAGCAGTGACCTTGTCCTAAACGCTTTTTCTCACGTGTTTTCCCAACACATATTGACGGGGTTCTTCCTAGGCCAGGCACTGTGCCAGGCACTCAACAGAGAGTGGTGAGGGAAATGGGCCCTTGTCCTGTCCTCATGGAGCTTACATCAGCCTAGCTGGGGAGACACGCATTAATGAAAGAATCATACAGGCGACTGTCAAATGCAAGAGGGACAGTGCTGCCAAGGAGTGGCATGTGGGGCCAACCGAGGACAGAACTGGGGATTTGCTTGGGTCGTGGAAGGCTGGGAAAACTTTTCCAAGGAAGTCACACTGAGCTGCAAGCTGGGGGAAGAGTAGGGAAAGTTAATTAGGTGGAAAGATGAGGGAAGGGTAATCCAGACAGAAGAGACGGTGTGGCAGAAGCCTCGTGTCATATCTGCTATGCTCCTGTCTTCCCCCTGAACTATGAATGGTGGCCTTTTTGTGGCTACATCTGCTTCTGGATATGTCTAATCTCAGCACAGGGCCTGGTTCTTACAGGCACTCAACAAATCTTTAAGTTGAATTAAATGGATTGAACTGAATTCCCACTCCCAAGCAGGCTACTGCAGACCCCAGAACGCGCTCCCCTCCCCTCCTGAGTTCGAGCCCAGGGCCCAGGGCCATTTCAAGGACTGCTGCTGTCTGAGCCACATTCAACTTTCAAGTGGTGCCTGCAGCCTGAGCCCCTCTGAGCCAGCAGCGGGGATTGTTTGTGGGCTGCCAGCAATATGGGCCATGGGGGCTGCAGGCGGGGCCAGGAGCAGTGACCAGAGTGACCAGCACTATCTAGATGCTGCCCTTGCAGACAGTGACCGGAGGATGCCATGTGGAGGGAAAACTGCTGACCCAGCATCAGAGCACCTTCTGCTCTGAGCAGATCCTCTGACCCCTGACAGGCAGGTGCCTCACCCCAGACCCTGGGGTCAGACACAGAGCGCCGGAGTCCCAGAGACGCCAGGGAGGCACTTGAGACGGCACGGCACTGCTGCAGATCAGAGCCATCATGGTAACCGTCATTGGAACCTGTGAGCTGACAAGGCCACTGTCTGCTAAAGAGGCCTGCTTAAGCCAGTCTGTCAAGTGGGGCCTCATGTTCAACTGCTTCTTGCAACTCCCTTTAATGTGGGAGAAAGGGGAAAGCTGGGGCTGGGTCTTCCTGCTCTGGCCCTCGGGGGAGCCACCCGGCACAGCTGTCCCTAAAGCCTGTGGTGCCTGGATCAGGTTGGGGGTGGGCAGGGCCTCTCGAGGACATTGGAGGGTCGTGCAGGGGGTACACACCCTGCGGGGTCCATCAGGCCTGATGTCCTGGCACCCAGTAACCCAGGCCTGTCATAGAGACAAGGAGGCACATACTTGAACTCATCAGGAGGCAACAGATGGCCTGCACTCCCCAATCCAGGGCCGCCCCAAGCCTTCCAGCCGCTCCCTATTCCCTCCTAGAGAAGCCCGTGCTTAGCTCGGCATTTTAGGAGTTGAGCGCCATTGCACACAAACCCCCTTCAGGCTCCTTCACTCCAGCCCTCCTGGACCGTGCCTTCCTACCCAGCATGTTCCCGCCACATCGCTCATGCCGCCTGGAGTCCTCCCGCTCCATCCCAGCAGATTCCAGCTCTGCCCAGCCCATATTCCTTCCACCCCCTCTGTACCAACTTCTGACACCTCTGCAGTTAGAAGCAATGTGTCCCCCTTCTCTGAGCGGCGCTTCTCACTCCCTAGGTTGCCTCATAGCTACTTGTGCCCTTGTCTGATCAGCCCCTTCGGCCTTACCTCTGAGAACAGGAATCCTGTCCCCCACACCCATCCCCCTCCCCTCCACCTCCCCTGCACCCAGCACCCTGTACCAGCCTGGTTGCCCTGCCCATACTGAACACCAGTTGACCTTGGGGTAGTCACTGGGGGTTCAGCCCTGCGACTCCAGCTGGCCCAGTGAGCCCATCAGCATTCAGGGAGCCTGCATAGGACAGTTACAGAGGTGCTGTCCCTGGTAGTCTCAAAGCCCTTTTCATCTCCCAGAGGAGGTAGAGATCTTCTTGCCCAGAGAAGAGCAGAGCCGAGATGATGCACAATGTTTTCTGGGCTGTCAGCCCTCCCGGCGGTCATTATTAATCCCTAGAAAGGCTGCGCTTAGGTCATTATTCAGGAGAAAATGTACAACCCAGACCAAGGCTGGCTCTTGGCAGAGGCAGCAGCCAGAGGAGCCAAGAACATTTGTCAAGAGGGGAAGCAGCATAGAAAGCCTTGCGCTGCTGCTCCTCCCAGGGGGCCAGTGGCTCCAAGATCCTCTTCAGCTTCTCTCGCCTCTTGCTTGCTTTGGAATGGCCCCATTCTGGGAAGATGCTGGGCCTCAAACCACCCTATTGAGATCTGATGGGGGAGAGGAGAGCAGCCAGTGTGGAAGATGGGTGGCTCATAGGAGGGTGAGGCAGGGCTGGCCTTTGAGTGACACCTCCTTTGAGGGACAGGGCGCTTTTCCCTTCACACTTATAAAGCTACTCTTTTCCCTGCCACTGCCAGGCATCTGAATGATGTGGGCACCATGATGGTAGCAGCCACTGTTCCCATATCTGCCATGCCCAGGTACTGCTCTAAGCACTGCGCATCTTAATACTCACAAAATATTGTGAAATGGTTTCTAGTTTCATCTCCACTTGACAGTTAGAGAATCTGAGGTACAGAGAGGTTAAGTAAGTCATCTAAGATCACACAGAGAGTAGGCAGGATTTAAATCCAGGACCATCTATTTTAAAGGCGGTACAGTTATTTATTCTGCTGTTTCTGATGTTCAAAATTCCACTGCCGTCAGCTGAGGAGATGCCTGTGCAACCCTGACCACATCACCTTGCCATCCTGGGCCTGCTGCCCTGTCAGCAGAAAGGGGACCACCTTGGGAAATACTTGCAGTGAGAATTCATTTCATTAAGGGCATTTTGCAAAATGCTTGGAGGCCCTGGAGGACAGAGAGGCAGAAAGCATCTGCATAGAAGCAGCGTGGGCATGAACAGGTTCTAGACCCACAGGTGCTGATACCTTCCCAAAGCCATGTCAACAAAGCAAAATCAGATGGTGGCACCAACCATTGCTCCAGCCAGCCTTGGTGCTGGCACTTTGACCAAGGAGGCTGTGTCTTGTTCTACCTGATGACATCACCTCTGGCAATGGGTCTTCCTGCTTCTCTCCCAGAACTCTGTGTTCCATTCCTTAGCAGAAACTAGACAATAACATAAGGAAGTCCACATGTCATTAACATTCTGAGGAGATGGAGTCACTCTCGTGCACGAAACACCCAGTTCCAGGTGGTTTTTACCTGACATCTCACTGTTTCATTATTTCACTCAGCTTCTCACTACCAATGCGGGTTGCTGGCTCTTTTCCCCAAGGCCCCCATCCTAGGCCTTTAATTCCTTTTGGATTCCTGGGTGAAGAATTCCAGGGTGTACCAGCTACAGGCGGTAATTCTTTTTTGAGGTAGAGTTTCACTCTTGTCGCCCAGGCTAGAGTGTAATAGCTCAATCTTGGCTCACTGCAACCTTCACCTCCCGGGTTCAAGTGATTCTCCCGCCTCAGCCTCCCAAGTAGCTTGGAGTACGGGCATGCGCCACCACATCCCTCTAATTTTGTATTTTTAGCAAAGGCAGGGTTTCTCCATGTTGGTCAGACTGTTCTCGAACTCCTGACCTCAGGTGATCCACCTGCCTTGGCCTCGCAAAGTGCTGGGATTACAGATGTGAGCCACCGCCCCCGGCCAGTAATTCATTTTGGAAAGCACCTGACCTGTTCCTTTCCAGGGTGTACCAGCCACAGGCAACGATTCGCTTGGAAAGCTTCTGACCTGGTCCTTTACTGTCCTCCGGCCTGCAAGACCCAGATTTGGCTTGGGTTTGGCCATATTACCTTTGCCTGGAAGGACCAACAGGCACAGAGTGACTGACTCACAGCTTTTCTACGTGACTGGTTCTAATGACAAAGACGGACTCTTGGGGAGTTTAGAGCACGTGAATTATAGGAGACTTGGGTTGGAAGCAGCTCCCCACACAATCTGTAGTTTGACCCTTGTTGATGTTTGAATCTTTTCTATTATATTCTCAGCAAGTGGTTGTCAAGCGTTTCCTCGCATGCCTTCATTGATGGAGAGCTCACTACATCCCCAGCCAGCCCAGATGGAAAGGGCAGTCCTTTGGTGTTTTCACAGAAATTCCCCTACCGTGGAAACCAGAAGTGGGGAGCGAGGAGCACCTGCTTAGCTAATCCTGCCAGAGGCTCGAACATCCCCTCAGCCATCAGCTCTGAAGGGGCCCTTGGAGATCACCTGGCCCCACGGCCTGATTGCACAGAGATGGAAGCAACTTCTCTAGGCACAAGCCATCAGTGGCAGGTCTTCCTCTAATTGCACTGGCAGCTGACATTGGTTGAGCCCCTGATTACCTTCCAGGAACTTTGATCACCGCTTTATGCTGTATGATCTCATGTAATTCAAGCTGCTGTTGGGCACTTGTAAGATGGTTATTACTCACATAACAGATGAGGTGACCAAGGTTCAAAGAAATAAAATAATTTGTCCAAAGTCACAGCAGCTCGTTAACAGCACGAATGCATGTTCCCAGCTACTCTTCTCGTCTAAGCGTGGCGCCTGGCTTCACAGAAAGTACGAGGGTTGAAGTTTCTTTTGTGGAGGAAATTGATTGGGACTTATGATTAGGAATTTAAAGATTCATAGTATTCTCTGAGTCTGCGTAAAAATCTGAGGTTAGGTCTATGCAAATAAGAAAACTTGGGGAAATAAATAAGCAAATGATAGAAATCTGGTTTAGCTGCTTGTCTGGACATCTAGACACTTCATCCCAAACTGGTCTGCATGTGTAGTTACAGTCCGAAGGCCTGGAGGGTACCTGTTATTCTCGTCAGGAGAGTAATTTGTTTCATTTCCTGACTTGTATGATCTCCAGGTGAAATCATGAGAAGCTAGAGATGCCTAATATTTAGTTTATAAGCACAGAGCGCCAAAGAAGATTTTTAAACAAAATTTCAGTGGAAATTGCAGATTGCTGGAAAAGAAGTTAGCATGATCTTATTTAAAACAATGAAAAGAACTTTTTAGCAATTAATTTTGCCTCAGGTGAAAACTTCTGTTAAGTCAAAGCTACAGTTTGAGATTTAGCTGTGAGAAGTGCTCTATTATGGAGACACAGCCTTTGGGTACTTAAATTTTTCAGTGCTGACTTAATTACAGTTTTAGAGCATCCCAAGGCACGTGTCAGAGCTCCTATGTCTCCCGTTCCCTCCCAGCAAAAGTAAGAGGGGAAGCTGGCTGAAGTTTCTGTAGTTCCACTCGGTTTCTCCAACAAAACCTGCTAGTTGGAAGGTAAAATTTCTTATTAGTCTGGAGGTCATTGGGCTAAATAATTCTTCACATTTTCCTGAAGTCAGATTGAACTTTGTTGTTGACTTTTCTGTTGCACGATTGAAACCACCTTTGCAAAAATTACAACTGAGACAATTATGACAGTGAAAGAGACTCGTCCTGACTGGCTCCATCTTGCTTCTAACCTCCAGGCTGTCCTTGGTCATTCTGGGGGCATGGGCTGAACTAACTTTGGGAGGAACACAGTTTATGGTTTAGCTTTGAAACAAAGATGGGAACAGACCGTTCCCAAAACAAACCCCCTTTCTGCCTGGGGACTAGCTGCTTTTGCAGGACTAACAAATTAGACACAAGATTAGAAATTGTGGTTTAGGAGTCCTGCAGCTGGAGGCTACAAGATTCTAAACCTTCCCAAATTTCTGTTGGGGATAACATCACTATTGTAAAACCTAAGATCAATGATTGAGACATTTTGCAGATCCTGCACTCAGTGGATCAGCTGTCACCACCGAGACTGATAAACTGGCTCATCTAGTCTTGTGGCCTCCACCCAACAACTGACTCAGCACAAGAGGATAGCTTCAGTTCCCTATGATTTCATCTCCAACTCAACTGACCAGAACTCCCAACTCACTGGCCTTCCCCTACCTACCAAATTATCCTTAGAAACTCTGATTCCCAAGTGCTTGGAAAACTGATTTGAGTAATCATAAAACTCCAGTCTCCCACGCAGCTGGCTCTGTGTGAATTACTTTTTCTCTATTGCAATCTTCCTGTCTTGATAAATTGGCTCTGTCTAGGCCACAGGCAAAGTGAACCTACTAGGCGATTACACTCTGCTGGGGTTACCTTTGAGAAGAAAGCATCTCCAGAATGCAGGAAACAGGATCTTTCTTTTGCCTTTTCCAGCTGTCTTGGAGGGGGACTTTTACCAAAACTCCATGTCACTTTGCACACAGGGCTGGGCTTGGGGCAGAGTGGCTCTGACCATGTATTTAGGGCAAGCTGGGGCCTTCTATTAATACCACGGGCAATTTGGAAACAGACTCATCAGGTTGGTGCCTGTGATGAATAGCCATGGATATTTCTATATTTATATATGCATCACTTAACAAGGGGAATGTGTTCTGAGAAATGCATTGTCAGGCAAGTTCATCGAGTGTACTTACACAAACCAGTATGGTATAGCCTATTAGACACCTGGACTGTCTGGTATTGCCTGTTGCTCCTACACCGCAAACCTGTACAGCATGTTACTGTACTGAATATCACGTGCAATTGTAATGCAATGGTAAGTCTTAGCGTATCTAAACATGCCTAAACATAGAAAGGGAACAGTAAAAATACAGGATTATGATCTCTTTGGACCCCTGTCATGTAGACAGTCTGCTGTTAACTGAAATGTACTTATAGTTGTATGACGCTTGACTGCATTTCCATGAACTTTTGGACTCTAGCAATGTGCATTTGTTGGATAACTGCGGAGGAGTGAAGCAGCACTTTGGTCATTCTGATAGGTGTGAAATTGCCATCTCAAAAGACTGCACTAGTTCAAACTCACACTAAGAGTCTCTGCCTCTGAAGTGTGCTTCCTCATGCCGTTGTCAACACAACGTGATATCAGAGTTTTCCATCTTTGCCCATCAGGAAGATGAAAATGGTGTTGGCTTGTTTAGTTTGTAGTTCTTTAGTTAGGAGTGAGCTTGAACATCTTTTCATGTGTTGATTGGTCCTTTGTTTGGACTTCTATTCATGTCCTTTGCCCATGTTTTCGTCCATTGTTATTGAACTGTAGACTGACATATTCGTTTGATGTGTTGATGTCAACACCCTCCTCCCAGCTCCTCTCATTGCAGCACCGATGATGTCTGTAGGCCTGAAATTCAAATAGACGGGGGAGCTCTTTAGGGTCCTGACTCACGCACGGACTTTGAGGCTTGAAAGTCTATGACCCAGAGAATACAGCATTCCCGATCATCTCTGGTTCTGCAGGAAACAGGCCAACAGGAGATTCTTCTTGTTGTTCAGTGCCTCAGCCTGACCAACAGGATGGTGACAAGGACAGGGGTGTGTCCTGGTGTCCGGATTCAGCCTCAGTCTTAGGCAGGCCTTGTTTGTCTCTTGATTTGGAGGTTGGAGCTTTCTCAGTAATCCTGCCCCTCTTCCTTGTGGCAGCCAAACTGCCGTGTATTTTACGCTGTTCTTGTGCCCAAGAGAGTTTTCTGTCCCCTCCCCACCACCCACCCGACAGAAGACTGCTAATCAGCTGGATCCAGCCAGGGTGGTCTCTGCCCCTCCCCAGAGGTTGAAGGTTTTATCTTTGCTCCTTCTCCTACTCACAGCAAGTGCTCTTGGGACAGCAGGGTTCGCCCTTTCCTTACTGGCTTAAGGCCTCAGGGGAGAAGATCCTGGACAAGACCCCACGGAATCCTTCACAACCATCCTCAGCGAGGGGATATTTGGAGTGTGCCCTTGGGTGATTCGGTGTGTGTGGTGGGGGAGACTTGGGGTGTGAGCAAGAGGATATTGGAGCTGTGGGCTAGGGAGGTTTGGGAGTGTGAGCCGACCGTTTCCTACATTTAGGCTGGGGCATAGGCCGAGGCTTACTTTGCTGTATTAAATGCAAATTCTTCCATCTATCACTTAAGGGTCTTCATAATCTTGCCCCAACATACTTTCTTAGCCTTCCCGCACTGCTCCTCTGCTTATCTCCTGGGCTTGGGGTACATAGTATCCCATCACTCTCCTTGAAGAGCAGATCAATTTTCATTGACTCACTTATTCATTCATTTATTACAGAGGAGCACAAAAATGAATGAGTTAAGGCCCTACCCTCAGAAGTTCCAGTGCTTATGTGCAATGACCTTTTCAGAATGTGCCTTTGCTGGGAACTCGAAATGCTGATACCAGAAGGCCTCCTTCCTTGGGGAAATATTCCTTTACTGCTTTGCCTTTCTCTGAGTCAATAATGACTGCAGACACTCTAGGCTGGTTCTGCCGTCTACAAAACACAAGAGTCCCTTCCACAGATTTCCTGGCACCTGGGGCATGCTAGAGGGAGCCCAAGGTCAGGGAGTTCACTGCCTCCTGGGGCATCCAGTTAAAATGTTCTTCCTTGTATGGAGCTAAAACCTGTTTCCCTTTTGTTCCTACTTTGGCCCTCTGGGGTTAAGGTACAAATCTGCCTCATTGTCCCCAAGGGAGATCTTCAGAGATTCATTGGGTCTTTTCTTTAGAAAGACCTCCATGAGACACCACCATCTTTCTCTGAGACCCTGCTCACCTTGGTTTTATTGAATACATCACAGAGGTCCTCCAGGTCACTCTTCCCATTCCTGGCACCCTCACTTGCATCTGTGTGGACTCTGCTTCTCAGGTCACTGACCGCATGCCAAGGAATGGCAAAGCGCTCGCTACGTTAAAACACCGTCTGCTTTGACGTGCTCCAGCCAACACCGTGTGGGAGGAAACCAGGAAGGCTGTCCTGGTAGACAGGCACTTTGTCCTCTCACTCTGGAAAACTTTAAGGAAGATCTTGCATACGTTTGGGCATATTCAGAGATGGGCTTGCAAAAGGTTAAACTGAGTTTTTTAGAAGTTATGAATTTGCTTTTCTCCCTTTGGGCATTCTCCAAATGACACTCTTTTTGGAAAAAAATTAAATTGTCTGAAACTCCATGAAATACACTTTAAAGTTGCAGTGGGTAATAAAAATGTGGCATCTGTTTAACTGATCACAATTTCTACTGGAAGGATCTGTGAGCAGCATTTTTAAAAGCGTTTGCTTTGCCTTTGGTTTCTCTTTGTGTCCCATTTGAGTAATTTCCTCTCACATCCTTCTGTCCCTGGGCCTAGAAGCCTGGTAAATAAGCTGCCCCAGAGAGATCCAGGAGCCAGCAATATCCTGGAAACCTTGGGCCATGAGGTTAAGCACAAAACCGCTCTCTTTCCAGGAAGGAATGACTGAATCAGAGTAACGACCTTGGCTTTCAATTAGTCCTTGTCCAGCTTTCCCCACTCTTTTCCTCTCTGCTCCCTGCCCACATGCCCCAAGCTGTGGAGGAGCTGGACCTGCTCCAACCCTCCTGACCCTGGGACACTGCACAAGTGTATCCTGTCATTGGTGTGTGCCTCGGGACTTCATGGGCCTACAAAGCTGAGCTGAGTCAAGCTTCCTCCCCAGCTCCGAGAAGAATGTCTGTCAGG